AGAGAAGGCTGAGAACCTGAACTTTGTTCTTCACTACCTATGTCACTTGCCTGTCGACCCCGTTTGACTCTTTCAATGACACTTGAACTTATGACCATCCCTGTATTCTGTAATTGCGCTTTAAATGCTCGTTAAAAGCGAAAGGATGTGGGCTGCTGTTCAATTTTGACGAATTCACCCTTAACGCCGAGGGTTTAACGGTAAGTCAGAATTATCATCGAACAGCTCAGAAGTATCAATGAAATGATTGACAATTACGTTTAACCCACTTACGTTCGTTAAAAAGCAAAACCTCTCAGCCATGGAGAATATATTTCTGTGCTCCTTCTCGACACCTGAGTTCCTGTATAATCAAGTAAGTTTGCCTAAGCAATGACCAATTCTTCCCGAATATTCTTCAGGAATCTTTCTGCTACAGGCCAATATGACATCTCATGTTCGAATTCCTTGGATATTTCTTTTTTCATTTTTGCTTGCCAGAACCCACCGTTGCTTACATTTTATTAGCTACCGGCAGCGTAATGAGTTTATTAACAGCCCTTGTTGGTAACACAATCGTTATAATCGCTCTTTGGCGCAGTAAATCGATGTACTCCGCTACAAAAGCGCTCTTTTACGGTCTTGCCTTCTCCGATCTCGCGACAGGACTGACTCAGCCCTTATTTGTTGCCTATATGTTGGGTGTTGCTTGGGACAACGCATGGCTTTACTGAACCGTAGCTTTGTCGTTCAGTCTGATGACTTCTTTCTTTAGTATGGTGTCTCTATGGACGCTGGGCATTATCGCTGTGGATAGGTATCTTGCTCTTCATCTCCTCACGAGATACAAGACAGTGGTTACTGTCAAACTTATTGTTGCTGCTTTAGTTTTGGGCTGGCTCATCAGTGCTTTTTGTATGGTCTCCAGACGTTTTAGTGTTAAATTTAGACAAATAGTCAGTGATATTGTGGTTTTCATCTGTTTTATCATTTCCATGTATTGTTAGGGGAGGAACTACATAACTTTACGACAGCAAAAACTTCATGTACAAGCACTGCGCTCGTCTCAGGTGGAACATTATCGCAAATCTCTAAAAAGCATGTTTCTGATATTCTGTTTATTTTTGTTAACTTACATTCCATTTTTCTGTATTTTGGTTTTCGTTACAATCGAAGGTTTTGGTAGCACATCGCTTTTTATACTAGATGTATCAACATTGATCGTTATGGCAAACTCCTCCTTAAACCCTGTGGTGTATTGCATGCGAGTTCGAGATCTGAAGGTAGAGGCAATACGCGTAATCCATAGTATTTTCATTTGTTTTCCAGTAATTTGGTGTAAAAAGGAGGTTGGTCCTCTCCCTTGATCTGAACTAAATTTGATGTTGTTGCATTGTTAATGCTTCAAGACAGATCAAGTCTCCACAAAAGTGGTGCGGTCAGTTTCGCTTGAGGAACATATTTCGCTCATTTCTTGTATGTTGCAAGATGTTCAAAGACATTTAAAACCTCAATGTGATCCTGAACCTGATCCTTATACTCATCCTAGTATCCTCATCCTGATCCTAGTCCATGTCATCGTCCTTGTCCGCGTCCCCGTCCGCATCTTCATCCGCGTCTTCGTCCTCCTTTCCAGCTCGAAGACTGCTAATGATATACATGAAAATAGATTTAAACTGTTCTTGGCAATATGGCAAGGTGAATTTCAAATCTGACAGTTATAACCAAGATTGACCGTCAAAGAAATTAATTCATCATAGAGTAGGCATCAGAAAGTGTTCTCTTAAGGAAAACTCCACTGAGACATATCTTCTTGTGTCAATTATAAAGTATACGAAACACAGTCGGATATGGAGTTTTATAATTCATCAAATGCTTTTCATCGTATGGGATGGTCTTCACCAGTCTCGTACCCAGACCTTCCATTGCCAAGCGGGTGTAAGTTCCTATAGCTACGCGGTAGGAATGATCCGAGAGCCAGTATAGGTATAAGCGTCTAACATGACCGAGTACAAGCCTCAGTTAGGACGGGAATTTTCCAGTGATATTGCCTTGATGATAAATCCAAACTTTTAAACCTTTTGTTAAAAAAACCGAGGATTCTCGTTCAAGTTTCAATTTTAAGGTGAAAAAGTTTGTTCAGATTGTAACGAAAAAACACCGAAAAGTCAACAATCCACGCAGTAAAAGTTTTGATAGGAAGCTTTCTGTGAACATAGTGCCCTGCGCACCTCATGCAATAGTCGCAGAATTGTAAAAACAAATCGTCCTCTTTTAATAGGCTCGAAGAAAAAAATTAGTCGTGTGATCGTCCTTAGATATTATCTCTTCCTAGAGAAGCGCTTTTTCTTTGCTCTTAAAAAACCGAGAGAAAAGTTGATATCCAAGAAACAAATATCGGAGCATATCTTTTCGCGAAGGAGAGGCTAGTGCTCATGTATCAAATACACACTAAAAACACTCGTGTTCAGTCCTGGACATTAGTGGAGATTTTTCTATCCTTTTGTTAAGGTTTTCAACGTTTCAATACGTCAACTTTTCGAACCTGGGTAATACTGCTTGCTCGCTGAAGCAGCACCACTGTTCGTGTCAATACCCACACCTACCTTGTCAGGCAAATCGTTAACACGGTTTCATCTTCTATTTATTTCCTTTATTGTTTGTTTTTAGTCGCGGTTTTCTTCACCGTCAAGGAAATTTATTATTTGATGAATATTTACCCCTTCAATCGCCGAGGTACATCGAGGCGACTCTTTCTTGCAAAAGGACAAGTTTTAAGAGTCGTGTATGCCAATTTCAGCAACCGCTAATCATGCATATTTACTAAGCTTCTTAATTACAAGTGGAAAAAAGATTGATTTTACCGTAAGGACAAGTCGTTCTTGGTATATAATATATCAAGTTTTTATTTCCGCTCACACTGAAAACCAAACCAAAAATCAATATCTAATTTTCTCTAAATGAGCTATCCCGTGAGTATAGGCATACGTAAAAGCAGAATTCAAAGCACTTCCTTTAACATCATACTTGTATATTTTCACTCTAAAATAAACATGACAACATCCATTTAAATACTTGTTTGATGATAATTGCCAACTTCTGCAACTCCTGCCTATTCCAAAGGTCCATAATGATATTCCAGATAATTAAATTGCACCGATTAAAGAACAAATTACAAATTCCAATTTAGTTTCAAAAAGTTTAACCTAGTTCACCAAACTTCTTAAGCAGGGAAGGGAAGGCAATAATGATTACGTCAGCATTAGTTAGGGAAAGTCGAAAAGAGCTTAATTATGGAGCGGGAACTGAGAACTTTGACCGTTCACTCTTTACTTCATATGTCATAAGGGAGTTTGGACATGACTTTTGCTGAACAGCTGAACTGAACTTAGATTTTGCTCCATAAAACTCGAGTCCCATGGATGAATGTTACAGTAACGTGATTGTTTGCCCTCTTTTTAGCGTTTTCTCCATCTTGAAGGAAACTTACAAATACATGCGTATTTACTCATAGAAAGTCCGAAGTAAATCGATCGAGACGAAATCTTTCTCGCATGCTTGCGGCATCTTTTGTTAATTTGTTTATATCAAGTAAACTCTATTTCAACAAAGATTGTTGTTAAAATTCGGAAAGTCCAGCCCATGATCAAATGAAAGTAAGTATTTCTTTTCAATGATACTTCACAAAAACTGCCCAAAAAACTCTTAAAATTGCTAACCCACTCATGATTTCACACGTTACTTGTCTCACGATGAAAGTTGCCGATTGAGTTCTTTCCCATAGAATTCAATTACAACCAATGATCCTCACTACTCTTAAGTATCAAAATGGCGCTCAAAAGGCTCTAAAGAAGGTTTTAAGGTACCATAAGTATAAGCGTTTCTTTCCGTTCTGAGGCAAGCACTCGTTTCTTTCACCTTTTACATAAAATACTTCGCAATCGCTTTACCAAGAAAATAGTTAAAAAGGAAAGGTTTTAACAGTCATCTATGCCGATTTCAGCACCCACGCTCGAAACTCCAACTTTACAAACGCTCTATGATAGCCAATTTGCATTTTCAACTCATTTGATAAAACCAAATTATCTTGCACTTATAGATTGTTAATTACAAGTATCACTTGAAAAAGGTTGTTTGTACCTTACATAAAACTCGCACCTACATATATATTATGGTGGTCATTTCCGTTCGCACCGAGAACCATAATAAAAACCCATCCCGAAATTAATGTCCTTAAATAAGCTATCCTGAATTCAGAGCACATCTTTTGATATGAGGTTTTTATACTATCACTCTAAAATAAACATGAACAACCGTTCAGATATTTGTTTGATGACAAAAGCCAACTTATGCAACACCTGCCCATTGAAAGAGATGCACCATGATATTCCAGATAACATTTAACGGGTATTAAAGTCAAATATCGATTCCAATAGAATTTAAAAATTATTCGTGCACAAAAAATTCTCTTAATCTTATCAGGGGGAAGAAAAGCGAGGACGATCGCGTTAGACGTGGCGAAGGACAGTCGAAGTAGAGCTTAAGGAGAGAAGGCTGAGGACCTGAACTTTGTTCTTCACTACCTAAGTTGTTTGCCTGTCGAGTTCCTTTGACTCTTTCAATGACACTTGAACTTATGACCGTCCCTGTATTCTGTAATAGCACTTTAAATGCTCGTTAAAAGCAAAAGGATGTGAGCTGCTGTTCAATTTTGACCAACTCGCCCTTAACACTGAGGGTTTAAGAGTAAGTCAGAATTATCATCGAACAGCTCAGAAGTATCCATTAGTAAAAAAATGTATCTGAATCAATGAAATGGTTGACAACTATGTTTAACCCACTCACGTTCGTTAAAAAGCAAAACCTCTCCGCCATGGAGAATATCTTTCTGTGTTGCTTCTCGACACCTGAGCTCCTGTATAATCGAGTAAGTTTGCGTAAGCCATGATCAATTCTTCGCAAATATTCTTCTGGAATCTTTCTGCTACAGGCCAATATGACATCTCTTGTTCGAATTCCATGGATATTTCCTTTTTCATTTTTGCTCGCCAGAACTCATCGTTTGCTTACATTTTATTAGCCATCAAAAGCGTAATGTGTTCATTAACAGCCGTTGTTGGTAACACAATCGTTATAATCGCTCTTTGGCGCAGTAAATCGATGTACTCCGTTACAAAAGCGCTCTTTTACAGTCTTGCCTTCTCCGATCTCGCGACAGGACTGACTCAGCCCTTATTTGTCGCATATCTGTTGGGTGTTGCTTGGGACAACGCATGGCTTTACTGCACCGTAGCTTTACCGTTCAGTCTAACAGCTCTTTTCTTTAGTATGGTGTCTCTACGGACGCTGAGCACTATCGCTGTGGATAGATATCTCGCTCTTCATCTCCTCACGAGATACAAGACAGTGGTTACTGTCAAACTTATTGTTGCTGCTTTAGTTTTGGGCTGGCTCATCAGTGCCTTTTGTACGGTCTCCATATTTTTTAATTTTAAATTTGCAAAGATAGTCGTTGATATTGTTATTTTCATCTGTATTGTCACTTCCCTGTATTGTTACAGGAGGAACTTCATAACTTTACGACAACAAAAACTTCATGTGCAAGCACTGCGCTCGTTTCAGGTGGAACATTATCGCAAATCTCTAAAAAGCATGTTTATAATATTCTGTTTATTTTTGTTAACTTACATTCCATTTTTCTGTATTCTGGTTTTCGTTACAATCGAAGGTTTTGGTAGTACATCGCTTTTTATACTAGATGTATCAACATTGATCGTTATGGCAAATTCCCTCTTAAACCCTGTGGTGTATTGCATGCGAGTTCAAGATCTGAAGGTAGAGGCCATACGTGTCATCCATAGCATTTTCTTCTGTTTGCAAGTAATTTGGTGTAAAAAGGAGGTAGGTCCTCTCCCTTGATATGAACTCAATTTGATGTTGTTGTTTCGACCGCGACGAAAATTAGATACGTCATAGCTACTTAATTAGGTTAATCACCGTTAATAACATTAGTACGGCAAGCTTCCTCCCGAAGTCGACATCTGAGGCCATCGGGTATGTAAAATCTGTGGTTCGTTTTCTTTGAACTTTGTTCATATAACCTGATAAACTGTTTGTAATCATAGGTTTCGAAAGACTCATCAATAAACAATAGAAAGTCCTTTGAAACGTGGCTATTTTATACCGTTAACGCTTCGGTCGAGGAAACAGTTGTTACATTGCTAATACTTGAAGACAACCGTGAACGTGGTCCGGCCAGTTTCGCTTAAGAAACATATTTCGCTCATTTCTTGTGTGTTGGAAGACATTCAAGTACTTATCTTAAAACCTCAATCTGATCCTAGTCCTTGTTTTCGTCCCTGTCCGCGCCCCTATCTCCGCATCTTCGTCTGCGTCTTCGTCCTCCTATCCAGCCCGAAGACTGCTAATGATATACATGAAAATGAAATTAAACTTTTCTTAGCAACATGCCAAGGCGAATTTGAAACCTGACAGATATAGCCAACATTGACCGTCAAAGAAATGAATTTACCATAGAGTAGGCATCAGAAAGTGTTCTCTTAAAGAAAACTCCACTGAAACACATCTTTTTGTGTCAGTTATAAAGTACACGAAAGTATACGTCAGTTATAAAGTATACGCTTGAGAAACGTATTTCGCTCATTTCTTGTGTGTTGGAAGACATTCAAGTACTTAACTTAAAACCTCAATCTGATGCTAGTCCTTGTTTTCGTCCCTGTCCGCGCCCCTATCTCCGCATCTTCGTCTGCGTCTTCGTCCTCCTATCCAGACCGAAGACTGCTAATGATATACATGAAAATGAAATTAAACTTTTCTTAGCAACATGCCAAGGCGAATTTGAAACCTGACAGATATAGCCAACATTGACCGTCAAAGAAATGAATTTACCATAGAGTAGGCATCAGAAAGTGTTCTCTTAAAGAAAACTCCACTGCAACACATCTTTTTGTGTCAGTTATAAAGTATACGAAACACAGACGGATATGAAGTCATATAATTCATTAAATGCTTTCCTTCGTATGGGATGGTCTACTTTAGTCTCGTATCTAGACCTTCCACGGCCAAGTGGGTGTAAGTTCCTACAGCTACGCGGTAGGAATGATCCGAGAGCTAGTATAGGTATAAACGTCTCACATGACCGAGTACAAGCCTCAGTTAGGACGGGAATTTTTCCAGTGATATTGTCTTAGTGATAAATCCAAACTTTTAAGCCTTTTGTTCAAAAAAAATGAGGGATCTCGTTCAAATTTCAATTTCAAGGCGAAAAAGTTTGTTCAGATTGTAACGAAACAACACCGAAAAGTCAACAATCCACGCAGTAAAAGTTTTGATAGGAAGAAGCTTTCTGTGAACATTTTGCTCTGTGCACCTCATACAATAATCGAAGGATTGTAAAAACAAATCATACACTTTTAATTGGCTCGAAAACAAAATTGTCTTGTGATCGTCCTTGGATGGTATCTGTTCTTAGAGACACATCTTTTTTCGCTCTCTAAAAATCGAGGGCTTCTCGAAAAAGTTGATATCCAAGACACAAATATCCGAGCATATTTTTTCGCAAAAGGAGAGGCTAGTACTCCTATATCAAATACACACTAAAAACACTCGTGTTCAGCCCTGGACATAAGTGGAGATTTTTCTATTCTTTTATTAAGGTTTTCAACGCTGAAATACGTCGACTTTTCGAGCCTGGGCAATATTGCATGCTCGCTGAAGCAGCACCACTGTTCGTGTCAATACCCACACCTACCTCCGGCAAGTCGTTAACACGGTTTCATCTTCTATTTATTTCCTTTATTGTTTGTTTTTAGTCACGGTTTTCTCTACCGTCAAGGAAACTTATTATTTGATGAATATTTACCCCTTCAATTGCCGAAGTACATCGGGGCGACTCTTTCTTGCAAAAGAACAGGTTTTAAGAGTCGTGTATGCCAATTTCAGCACCTGCTAATCATACGTATTTACTAAGCTTCTTAATTACAAGTGGAAAAAAGGTTGATTTTACCGTTAGGACAAGTCGCTCTTGGTATATAGTATATTAAGTTTTTCATTTCCACTTGCACTGAAAACCATACCAAAAATCAATATCTAAATTTCTCTACAGGAGCTATTCCGTGAGTATATGCATACGTAAAAGCCACGTGAAAGCAAATCCCGAATTCAAGGCAAATCCTTTAATATCATAGTTGTACATTTTCACTCTAAAATTAACATGACAAAAGCCATTTAAATACTTGTTTGATGAGAATTGCCAACTTCTGCAACTCCTGCCTATTCAAAAGGTCCATTATGATATTCCAGATAATTAAATTGAACTGATTAAAGAACAAATTAACAATTCCAATTGAGTTTCAAAAAGTTTAACTTAGTTCAACAAAATTCGTAATTTTATTCTTAAGCAGGGAAGGGAAGGCAATAATGATTACGTCAGCTTTAGTCAGGGAAAGACGAAAAGAGCTTAATTATGGAGCGGGAACTGAGAACTTTGACCGTTCACTCTTTACTTCATATTACATGAGGGAGTTTGGACATGAAGTCTGCTGAACAACTGAAGTAAACTTAGACTTTGCTCCATAAAACTCCAGTCCCAGGGATATATGTTACAATAACGTGATTGTTTGCCCTCTTTTTAGCGTTTTCTCCATCTTGAAGGAAACTTATAAATTTATGCGTATTTACTCATAGAATCGCCGAAGTAAATCGATCGAGACGAAATCTTTCTCGCATGCTTGGAGCATCTTCTGCCAATTTGTTTATATCAAGTAAACTCTATTTCAACAAAGATTGCTCTTAAAATTCGGAAAGTCCATCCCATGGTCATTTGAAAGCAAATATTTCTTTTCAATGAATACTTCACAAAAACAGCCAAAACCTCTTAAAATTGCTAGCCCACTCATGATTTCATACGTTACTTGTCTCACAATGAAAGTTGCCGATTGAGTTCTTTCCCATAATATTCAATTACAACCAATGATCCTCGCTACTCTTAGGTATCAAAATGGCGCTCAAAAGGCTCTTAAGAAGGTTTTAAGGTAACATTAGTATAGGCGTTGCTTTCCGTTCAGGCAGGCACTCGCACGTCTGACATAAAATGCTTCGCAAACGCTTTACGAAGAAAACAGTTAAAAAGGAAAGCTATAAACAGCCATCTATGCCGATTTCAGCACCCACGCTCGAAACTCCAGCTTTAGAAACACTCTATGATGGCCAATTTACATTTTCAACTCAGTTGATAAAACCAAATTATCTTGTATTTAGATTGTTAAGTACAAGTACCTCTTGAAAAAGATTGATTGTGCCTTACATACAAATCGTTCCTAGCATATATTATGGTGATCATTTTCGTTCGCACCGAAAACCACAATAAAAGCTCATCCCGAAATTAATGTTCTTAAATAAGCTATCCTGAATTCAAAGTACATCTTTTGAAATCAGGCTTGTATATTATCACTATAAAATAAACATGAACAATTGTTCAGATACTTGTTTGATGACAAAAGCCAACTTATGCAACACCTGCCCATTCATAGAGTGTACAATAATATTCCAGATAACATTGTATCAAAAACAAAATATCAATTCCAATTAAATTTAAAATGTTCTCCTATACAAAAAATTCTTGTAATCTTATCAGGAGAAGAAAAGCGAGGACGATTACGCTAGACGTGGCGAAGGACAGTCGAAGTAGAGCTTAAAGAGAGAAGGCTGAGAACCTGATCTTTGTTACTTGCATGTCAAGTTCGTTTGACTCTTTCAACTACACTTGAACTTAATTATGACCATCCCTGTATACTGAAATCGCGCTTTAAATGCTCGTTAAAAGCAAAAGGATGTGGGCTGCTCTTCAATTTTGACGAACTCGCCCTTAACACTGAGGGTTTAACAGTAAGTCAGAATTATTATCGGAACAGCTCAGAAGTATCCATTAGGAAAAAATGAATTTAATTTGAATCAATGAAATGGTTGACAATTACGTATAACCCACTCACGTTAGTTAAAAAGCAAAAACTCTTCGCCACGGAGATTATCTTTCTGCGCTGCTTCTCGACACCTGAGTTCCTGAATAATCAAGTAAGTTTGCTTAAGCAATGACCAACTCTTCACGAATATCCTTCAGAAATCTTTCTGCGACAAGCAGCAAATATATCATCTCATGTTCCTTGGATATTTCTTTTTTCATTTTTGCTCGCCAGAACTCTTCGTTTTCTTACATTTTATTAGCTATGGGCAGCGTAATAAGTTCATTAGCAGCCCTTGTTGGTAACACAATCGTTATACTCGCTCTCGGGCGCAGTAAATCGATGTACTCCGCTACAAAAGCGCTCTTTTACAGTCTTGCCTTCTCCGATCTCGCGACAGGACTAACTCAGCCCTTATTTGTTGCATATCTGTTGGGTGCCGCTTGGGACAACGCATGGCTTTACTGTACCGTAGCTTTGCCGTTCAGTCTGATGACTTCTTTCTTTAGTATGGTGTCTCTATGGACGCTGAGCATTATCGCTGTGGATAGATACCTCGCTCTTCATCTCCTCACGAGATACAAGACAGTGGTTACTGTCAAACTTATTGTTGCTGCTTTAGTTTTGGGCTGGCTCATCAGTGCCTTTTGTACGGTTTCCAGACTTTTTAGTATGAAATTTAGACAGGTAGTCAGTGATATTGTGGGTTTCATCTGTTTTGTCACTTCCCTGTATTGTTACAGGAGGAACTACATAACTTTACGACAACAAAAACTTCATGTGCAAGCATTGCGCTCATTTCAGGTGGAACATTATCGCAAATCTCTAAAAAGCATGTTTATAATATTCTGTTTATTTTTGTTAACTTACATTCCATTTTTCTGTATTCTGGTTTTCGTTACAATCGAAGGTTTTGGAAGCACATCGCTTTTTATACTAGATGTATCAACATTGATCGTTATGGCAAATTCCTTCTTAAACCCTGTGGTGTATTGTATGCGAGTTCAAGATCTGAAGGTAGAGGCAAGACGCGTCATTCATAGAATTTTTTTCTGTTTGCCAGTAATTTGGTGTAAAAAGGAGGTTGGTCCTCTCCCTTGATATGAACTCAATTTGATGTATTTGCATTGTTAATGCTTGAAGACAGATCGAGTCTTCGTAAAAGTGGTGCGGTCAGTTTTGCTTTAGAAACATATTTCGCTCATTTCTTGTGTGCTGCAAGACATTCAAATACTTATATTAAAACCTGAATCTGATCCTCATGCTCATCTTAGTATCTTCATCCTGATCCTTATGCTCATCTTAGTATCTTCATCCTGATCCTAGTCCTTGTTTTCGTTCCTGTTCGCGTTCCGTCCCTGTCCGTATCCTCGTCCCTCCCCGTCTGCATCTTCGTCTGCGTCTTCGTCCTCCTTTCCAGCCCGACGACTGCTAATGCTACACATGAACATAGAATTAAACTTTCCTTGGTAACACGCCAAGGCGAATTTGAAACCTGACAGATATAAACAAGATTGACCGTCAAAGAAATTAATTCACCATAGAATAGGCATCAGCAGGAGCCCATTTCTAATGGGCTCCTGGCATCAGAAAGTGCTCTCTTAAAGAAAATTCCACTGAAACACATCTTCTTATGTCAATTATGAAGTATACAAAACACAGTCGGATATGAATTTTTCTAATTCATTAAATGCTTTCCTTCGTATGGGATGGTCTTTACCAGTCTCGTACCCAGACCTTCCACGGCCAAGCAGGTGTAAGTTCTGACAGATCATTCCCACAGCTACGCAGGTAGGAATGATCTTTGAGCTAGAATAGGTATGAACGTCTAACGTGACCGAGTACAAGCCTCCGCTAGGACGGGAATTTCCAGTGATATTGTCGTAGTGATACATCCAAACGTTTAAGCCTTTTGTTAAAAAAAAGAGGGTTCTCGTTTAAATTTAAATTTCAAGGTGAAAAAGTTTGTTTATTGTAACGAAACAACTCCAAAAGGTCAACAATCCACGCAGTAAAAGTTTTGATATGAAGAAGCTTTCTGTGAACATTGCGCTCTGCGTACCTTGTACAATAATCGAAGGATTGTAAAAGCAAATCTTCTCCTTTTAATTGGCTCAGTAAAAAATTGGTCTTGTGATCGTCCTTGGATAGTATCTGTTCTTAGAGACGCGCTTTTTCTTCGCTCTCAAAAAACCGAGAGCTTCTCGGAAAGGTTGGTATGCAAGGCACAAAAATCCGAGCATATTTTTTACGCTAACGAAAGGCTAGTGCTCATATGTCAAATACACACTAAAGTACTTGTGGTCAGTCCTCAACATTAGTGGAGATTTTACTCTTCTTTTATTAAGGTTTTCAACGCTCAAATACGTCAACTTTCCGAGCCTGGGTAATATTGCATGCTCGCTGAAGCAGCACCACCGTTCGTGTCAATGCCCACACCAAAATGCTCAAGCAAATCGTGAAAACGGTTTCATCTTCTCTTTCTTTCCTTTATTGTTTGTTTTTAGTTACGGTTTCCTCCACTGTCAAGGAAACGTATTATTTGATGAATATTTACCCCTTCAATCGCCGAGGTACATCGAGGTGACTCTTTCTTGCAAAAGAACAGGTTTTAAGAGTCGTGTATGCCAATTTCAGCACCCGCTAATCATGCGTATTTACTAAGCTCCTTAACTACAAGTGGAAAAAAGATTGATTTTACCATTAGGACAAGTCGTTCTTGGTATATAATACATTAAGTTTTCATTTCCGCTCGAACTGAAAACCAAACCAAAAATCAATATCTAAATTTCTCTGAATGAGCTATCCCGTGAGTATAGATACGTAAAAGCCAAGTGAAAGCAAATCCCGAATTCAAAGCACATCCTTTATTAAAGTATGTGAAAATGTACAAGCTTGACATTAAACTTTAATGTCAAGCTTGTAAATTTTCACTCTAAAATAGACATGACAGCAGTCATTTAAATACTTGTTTGATGAGAATTGCCAACTTCTGCAACACCTGCCTATTCAAAGGTCCATTATGATATTCCAGATAATTAAATTGAACTAATTCAAGAACAAATTACCAATTCCAATTGAATTTCCAAAAGTTCAACTCAGTTCAACAAATTCCTAATTTTATCGTTCAGCGGGGAAGGAAAGGCAATAACGATTATGCCAGCAATAGCAGGGAAAAGACGAAAAGAGCTTAATTATGGAGCGGGGACTGAGAACTTTGACTGTTCACTGTTTACATCATATGTCACTTGTCTTTTCAATAGCACTTGAGATTTTGGCCATCCATGTATATTTCATTTGCGCTTAAAATCGTAATTAAAAGCAAAAGATGATAGGTTTCTGCTCTGTCTTTACGAATTCGCTCTTAATACTTAAGGTTTAACAGCAGGTCCAAATAGATATCGGAACAGCTTGGAAGTACATCAATCGATAAAAAGAGATTGAATCAATGTATCGGTTGATAATTATCTTTATTCTCACATGAGTTAAAAAGCAAAAACTCTTCGCTACGGGTAATAGTCCTCTGTGCTGCTTCCAGAGGCCTGAGTTCAGATTTAGTTCCTGTGTAATCAACTAAGACTACCTCAGCGATGGCTAATTCCTCACAAATGTTTTCCAAAACTCTTTCTGCGACAAGCGAATATAACATCTCGTGTTCCTTGGATATTTCTTTTTTCGTTTTCGCTCGTCAGAACTCATCGTTTGCCTACATCTTTTTAGCTATGGGCAGCATAATATGTTCAGTAACAGCTCTTGTCGGTAACACAATCGTTATACTCGCTCTATGGCGCAGTAAATCGATGCACTCCGCTACAAAGGCACTGTTCTACAGTCTTGCCATCTCCGATCTCGCGACAGGACTGACTCAGCCCTTATTTGTTGCATATCTGTTGGGTGCCGCTTGGGACAACGCATGGCTTTACTGTGCCGTGGGTTTACCGTTCAGTCTGACGACTACTTTCTTTAGTATGGTGTCTCTATGGACGCTGAGCATTATCGCTGTGGATAGATATCTCGCTCTTCATCTTCTCACGAGATACAAGACAGTGATTACTGTCAAACTTATTGTTCTTGCTTTAGTTTTGGGCTGGCTCATCAGTGCCTTTTGTACGGTCTCTGTAATTTTTACTGCTAAATTTAGACAGATAGTCAGTGATGTTGTGGTTTTTATCTGTATTGTCATTTCCCTGTATTTTTACGGAAGGAACTACCTAACTTTACGACAGCAAAAACTTAATGTACAAGCACTGCGCTCGTTTCAAATGGAACATTATCGCAAATCTCTAAATAGCATGTTTCTGATATTCTGTTTATTTTTGCTAACTTATGTTCCTATAATCTCTATCTATGTTTTTGTTATAATCGAAGGTTTTGGTAGCACATCGCTTTTTATAGTAGATATATTGACATTGATCGTTATAGCGAATTCATCGTTAAACCCTGTTGTGTATTGCATGCGAGTTCGAGATCTGAAGGTAGAGGCAATACGTGTCATCCAAAGCATTTTCTTATGTTGGCCAGTTATTTGGTTTAAAAGGAAAAAGGTGGCTCCTCTTCCAGCATAATCTGAACGCAAACTAAATGTTATCGCATATTTTTATGCTTAGATAATAATTACTGTAAATAAGTAATAATTAAGGTATCATGTCTCTGTTACCTCACAGAGCCTTCGACTTCGGCACATGACTCAGACCTCGGTTATGATAATTTATGTAAGTATGTGCCACACAGGTGAATAGTGCTTTTTGCATGCGCTTTTTTGCTGGTTCATAGGTGAATAGCACGTGCTATTCACCTCCGAGCAGCCGAAGAGGTAAAATCGTGCGTCAAGAGTTTTATTTCCCGACCATTTTTTGGTATATTGAAAGAAATAAACTATTTTTTGGTATCTATACATGTGTGGTATACATTCAAACAGTTATTCACCTCAGTATCGATGAAAATGGTGGAATTTTTACTTAGTGGCGAGGTGGCGAGGTAAATTTCCACCGTTGTTAACCTCCACTTCGGTGATAATTGTTAGATATGATACTCAGTTGCTCCTGATAAACGACCAGGTTACTAAGCATAGTATAAAATTGGCGGCTCCCTAACCTGAATTTTAATTAGGAGGTTACAAATAGTTTAAAATCTCTTGATGATAGTGTAAAGCAGCTGAGTACATTTTTCGAAAGGTAAGAAAAATGTTGAAATTCAGGACGTTTTTGCGTATGATTTTAAAAATACTTTCTGATGGCGTGATAAGAATTATTACAATTATTTCAAGGCCGAATGAGCACGCACGAATTTTAATCGGGTTTGCACATATGCATACGAGTCTAACAAACAAACAAATTAATAAATAGACCAAAAAAACTAATGTGCAAACAAACAGAAAAACGTTAATTGCGATCTTGGTTCCCCAGCATTTTCCCGCCATTTTTTTTGTCATGTTCATAGCAAAGGATTTTCGAAAGCTACCTTACCCCTCCCCTGACAGTGTTTGCGGCATAGCTGAAATTTCATAAACAGTTTATATAGCAACCTAAAGCTAATCTGCATAACACTGTATTTTAACGCCGTGTCTGGTAGTTGCGGGGCAAAAATATTGTGTTAATCATGGGTTAGTCGATCAGGAAAGAAAAATGTTAGAAGTAGAGGATTTTTCAGAGCGTGGAGATGCTCCGGCTTTGGCAATCATTCAGGACAATGCCAGAAAGAAAGCCATAAGGCAAGTTGTTGAAACCCAAGAAGAACTCACTCGAATTCACGAACGGGTTACAAGGGTAAGTATTGGTACATCAACATTGAGGTCCTATTTAAGACCTTCATAGATTTTCTTTTCTTTGTTCTTACGGCTTCATTTTCATCTATAGACTATAGACGCGTACGAGCTGAGCGAAAAATTGTCCGGACATCAACTCGATGAGAAAGAAGTCGAACGTATTGCCGAAGATTTCATCCGAGAACAAGCGACTTTGGAATTTGTGGATGATATGGTGGGCAAAATGTTTTTACGAATAATTGTCAAACTGCAAAGCACAACCGGTTTTTAATCTTTGATTATAGACGTGACTCGAGCAGTAAGCTGGGCTTCAATACGACGCCGTCATTTTGTTTTCTTCCTATCTCACCCCAAGGGAATCAAGAGGCGTCCATGTAATTGCTTTGCCTTTTTCGCCTTGCCCTCTCTTTGTCTCTTGATTTTTGTTCGTGACATGAGTACACGTACTTTTCAATTCGTGAAGCAGTATAAAGGAGAGATTAAGACAAAAGCGACTTGTTCTCAAGCGTATACTGAAGTCTTTTTCTTATCTGAGTTTATATCCACAGTCTAATCTGTGGGATCCATGAAAATTAATTTTGCTCACATGAGCATGATTTATCAGAGTTGGTCCAAGAGTATTCGAAGGGCAACTAACTTGCTGCTATATTTTTATCAATTTTGTTCATTCTGGCGTAAATAATAATTACCGTCTTCTTGAAATTATTATTTCATCGTATTGTCGATTTTAAAAACCATGGCCGCTCGGTGTTTCAATGGAAATGAAAAACTCCTGCCTTGAGAAACTTGTGCAATACATATTAAGAATCATTATCACAGCTGACCTTACTGTGATAACTCTGTCTAGTTGAAAACTGTCACTGAAATAATAACAGATACTGAAATGCAACACTGCATGCGATAAATTAAATGCTCCACAAACCATGTAACACTTGCAAGACAGTTCCTTTCCATTTCTGATCCCAAAATCTAATACATTCTTCAGCAATGCAAATTTAAATTTTGATGGCATGTTAAGGCGACCGCTTTGTTCTACTGGAGAAGGCTTGTGGCTACCAGATCTGGGAAGGGAATCAGAGAAATAAGCCTGTCCTTTTGTGATGCAACTTCCTACTTTGACAAATGCATTGATTATCACCTGTTTTTCCTAGACTCAGCTGCTCATTATCTTATCAGACCCAGTAGCTAAACGAAAGGTAAGATTCATTTTTGATGAATGAGATTAAACACTTGTGAGTGTAGTGAGGGGCCTTTTCAGACTGGTTGGTATGAGACAACTGGAAGCTTAATTTAGGGATTGGATTGAAATGTGCTTCCTTATGAAATTTACCCTGTGGGCTAGTGAGTGAGAACAACCATTTTTTGTCATGAGAATTCTACTTACCTCTCTGGGAGGCCTTGTAGCATATTGGTTAATACATGTCTGCACCAAAAATAACAAAGTCAGCATTTAGGATCTGGTTTGTAGTGAGGAATACCATTGATTATGCAAGTTCCACTCTCTGATTCATGGTACTGAAATGGAGACAAGCTCTGATGGGATACTGACTTTCCAGCTTATAAACTGACTAGTTCTGTGACCTTGAAAACAATGAAAAGTTATCTACTTCTTATAAACCAAGTGGGAGGACTGTACTGGGAAACATTGGCCCAAGGTCATTTTTGTACAAGGGTCAATATTCTCCAGTATGGCTAGAGCAATTAAGGTCAGTAGGTTGTTAATTATATATACAGCACTTGGACCAGACTTGTATATTTTGAATTTGCTGGCTTTTGCAAACAAAATGATATGGCTCATGAGCATTCCTTTGGAAATGGTCTGTATGATAAAAATCCCAACCGAGTATTAGAACTAATCAGATTGCTTAGATTTATCTCAAGACTACCTTGCCCTATAAAGAAATACATTCATTTTTTTCATAGTTTTGCAATGTAACTCATGAAAATGAAAAAAAATATACCTTATATCTAACATATACCTTATATCTACCTTAGTATCAACAGCAAGTTGCAGTTTTTATTGTTGGATTTGAAAATCTGTGTGGACGCAGAGCCAGGGTAAGTCCTTACTCTTTGGTATTGAAGTTTAACTTGTGAAATTTGAATGTAAGGATTCCTTGATGAACTGCTGAATATTTGTATCGGCAATACTTTTTAGGCAAGTGACCAAATGATAGAAAGATCTATTTTCTTTTTCAGCTTTTGGCCCAGCTACAAGAGGTAAGTGTATACACTGCTCTATTTTGTTTATTAGAGGAATCCAGATATTGGTTTTGACGTAAGCATTGTCAAAAACAGGAAGTTTCATTTTGCAGTTTTTGATGTCCGTAAGATTGTTTTGTTTGATGGGGTAAATTTTTGATGCTGTACTGTGCAGTAAAATACTCTTTTAATGCAACATGATGAATCTGATTTGGGTTAACTTTTGTTGGCTGCAAGCAAACTCACATGAGCAAATTGTGTGGGTCTTATGACTGATATAGTAGGCTATAAACCAGGAATTCCCTTCTCATAAAAGTCAAGTGATGGAAATTTTTTCTCTTACCTGTGAGTGTAATTGCATTTATCTAAACTTTCTTTGGTTTTTTTTTATAGTTTTTTTCACAGAATGGTAGAAATGAAGATCAATTTGACATAGAACCTCCAGACTTTGACATTGAAGATGTTGGTGCACAAGTCAGGTAAACACACACAATAAAATGAAGAAAATTTGTCATCAAAAGCTATAAGTTTTAATAAATAGACCAGATTGAACCCAGTATATAACTAATGAAGAAGACCAAGTATGCATGAACTGTATTTAATTTCTTGTTCAAAGGATTGGTTTAGGGCCATGTAGTGGCCAAGGACATCATCAGGCAAAACAAAGATATTCTTACAGTGCCTCTTTCTCCCTGAAGGAGTATAAATGGGTGCTGGAAAACTGTGAGAGGAACTCTCACAATGCATTGTGCATTGGACCAGCAACACCATTTAGGGAAAGTGGTATTACTCCAGTAGTCAATATCGCTCTGAAAACTAGGAGAGGTCTTTGTGGCATTTGCTACTTGGCTGAAGAATAGATTTTACCTATGATTGATGCACATGTCACTACATTTTGTTGGTCAAGCCAAATTACCATAGTCATCAAGCCAATCAAAATATTTTGATGTTATCATCTAATAAATTAATACAGTTTTGAATTACAAGGGGTCTTTTTCCTTCAATTTTTTCAGAGATGCCCTGGACAAAGCAGAAAAAGCAACTGAGAGACTGGCTACAGTCTCAAAAGATGTTATCAAAGCTTTAGAAATAGCAAATCCAAAAGAAACCAAAAAGTAAGTTTTAAGAACATGTTTCAAACCCAATCTGATTAACTTTATGTTGCAAGTTAGGTCCACATACCAATAAATGAATATTATGCAAAATAAAATATATGAATTAATGAATAGACAAATAATTAGAAATATGAATAATTAGACACATAAATACAGACTTTACATTTACAATACTTCTTGTCAAGACTAGCTTTAATTTACAATCTTGTTTTGATGCAGCAGGACTATAGTGGCCTAAGAGGTTGCTTGCTTTAGCCCTATTAAATTTTTTTTACCATGCTTGAACAAATTACAGGATTTCTGCTATCACTGCAAGCTGAAGTAGAACTTGATTTTATTTCTAGAAACATTTTAACCAAAAAAAAATTACTTTGCTCGTTTATTTCTCAATGGGTGAAGATCACATCTGGCATTTTATCTTGCAGTTTTCGTTGCTTTCATGTTGTGCAAATGTATATGAGCCATTAGTTTCCAGAAGAATTCTTTAAGAATTAAGTTATTATTTGATAGCGAGGGCAGAGGTGAGAAATAGGAAACTATACTGACCAGTGAAACTAGAGACTGCCGTTTTTATGAGGATCAAGCAACACACTTGACCTTAATTACATATAAATTGGCTCTAGCTACTTATAGAGTTGACTATAATTGAATTTCATACTTTGACATACAGTATAAACTAACCTTACTTTGCCCAATTCATTAACCTTCATTGAAACTAGTAATTTAACAAACATTATTCATCAGATACTTACTAAAATCACCTTCTCTGTATCATGACCCTTCCTTTGTGTCAACCAAAAAAAACCATTCACAGACCAAAGAAAGATATGTGGCTGTTATGAAAAATGCCAAGTTTTTAGTTACACTTCTTAAGAATAAAAATCATGTTTGTTTACTTTCGCTCACTCCAAAGGAAAATCAAGATTAAGTGTCATTCAAAAGAAAAGCTTTTCTTTGTGACAACTCAGTTAGATCATGAAAAGTATTCATTCACTGTTGTTATTAAAATTAGGCCATGGTAATCTTTAAACATTAATTAGTTTTGAGTCATTCAACTGTTTGGTATGCATTGGATCAATGCTCATTAATTGGTTTCATTGTGAGAATCTCAAGAGAACACATGATCCTCTATTGTTTTGATGCTAATGAAGACACAGTTGCTAGGCATTTTCAAGAAGAGTCTTCAGATTTCTGTTAAACAAAATCCCTGAAGCAATAGGTCAACACATGAGACACACAAACTGTCTTTGTGGTTTTGGGTTGCATTGTAAAGTGAACACTCCATTTGGAAGAAGGGAAAGTCAATTTATTTGAAATTTGATGAATTATAGATCCATCCGATGATGGTTAGTGTGTTAGTGTTAACATTGGGGATTTTTAAGTAGTGAGATCTAGTTGAGTTATCACTTCACATTTTTGTTTATCTGCTAATTAACAATAAGTATCGTGTTTTATCAAGCTGGGTATGAATATACACTCTGATGTGCACTGTGTGTTGATAGAAAGTACCAATTTGGGGTGTAAAGGCAGTGTAATCTTTGCTATATTGTTACTTAAGTTGTAGTTTTGAAAATTGAAAAATGAACCAGCTAAGTCTTGTCATGGTTTAGTGTTTGTTAGTGTTAATCCTTTGCTGTGAAATGTATATTCTAATTCATTCTGTTCCCTCAGAGCCAGTGATAAGAATCAATGTCAGTAAAGTTCAATTAATAAAAGCAACACTTTTGCTTTGTGATTTCTTTATTCTTCACGGGTGAGATCTAAATTATGACGAAGAGTATAATGATTGTGCGCTTCACGAAGTGAGTTGCATGTTATTTATCATGTTCTGATTATGACAGATGAATTCGTTTTAGGTTGATTAAAACAGTCTCTGCTAAAATTAAACTGGTTTTGTTTTGATTTGTTTTTTACTACCCAGGGGAAAAAAGAAACTTGAGCGAGCTCTTCAGCAGGCACAGCAAGATATTTTGTCACTGACTGAAAAACTGATCAGAGTACAAAATGGTAAGTTGAGCATGTGAAGCAACCATCAGTGACAATTATTCCAGACATCATTGATCTATTATTATTTATTGAAAATTATTATTCTTAGTTGTCATGTCCAAAACACCTCAACGTTAATTCAGCAACACCATCTTTTTAGACATATTTGTTGTTTTTTAATAAGTGGGATGTACACAATTTCATCACAGAATTGTCCGTCTTTGATAATTCACCTGGAATCATCTGTTTCTGAAGTCGCTCTGTGGATACATGTACAAATACAGAACTGTATGTTCCCTGGCCATACAAAGACTAGGAAGCTATAAATTAAACAGTTTTAAAGACCCATGTGATTACCCAGAGTCAATGTCACAACTATACAAACAATGAGAAATTACTGATAACAACTTCTGGGCTAGTTGTATGTGATGCTGGCAATTGCTGTGACTGGTTTGCCTGTTTTCTTGCAGAGTTCAGTTTGTGACATGTAGTGAATTAGTTTTTTTTTTGTACTAAGAATTTTTATGGAATAAATTTGTTGTAGATCTTGAAGAAAGTGAAGGCAAGATGTCCCAAATGTACAAGTCTATGGAGATGAAACAAGTGGAAATTGAAAGGTATAATTTATAGTCCCTCCCATACCTTTGATTGCCGTAGTATTTGGTGATGTTTCAAATTACTATACATCATGTATTAAGACGCTAAGTAAAATTGACAGTTGGGTAAGTTACATTTTACATCTCTTTATAGGCTTAAGGTTCAAGGGGAGAATGCAAAGGTAAGCCTGGTTCTTTTGTTGCCTACAATCAAGTTTTCAGGGAGAGGAGAATAATTTAGTATTTTAAGAATTGAGCATATTTATTTCCAGCACTTTAGGAAAATCTGCAAATAACAAAATCTTGCTCATTTTTAATGATATTGCAGAAAGCTAATGAAACAATCAAAGAGTTGAAAGTAGAGCTTACTGTCAAAGATACAGACCTTCAAAGAGCCAACAAGGTGATAACATTTTAAATAAAATAATCTATAAATTACCACTGAGGCACATGGGTAAATATAAGAGTAAAACTTTGATTTGGTTTCATCTGTTCTTCAGAGTCTTAAGATCAATGCATATTGTGAACTAGTCTTGCTGTGATGCAATTCGCTGCTAATTTATGTTTCCTGTCTCCCTTTTGGTGATTTATGTAGCTTATTAGTTACCAATACAACCCTTAATTTTGCAGTATTTAACCTAAGATTGCAAAGATTGCAGCTGTTGTGTTATTTTTCTTTAATTACTTGAATTTATTAGTCCCTTTCTTGAAGGATAAATTTATATACACAATTTCTAGTTAATTTGATTTTCAAGTGTATTACTTTTTCTAGACGATTCAAGAACTTGAGCTAAATCTAGCTCATTTAGAGGATAAGCAAGAGAGAGATTTTGAGAGAAACAAAAAAATGAAAGAGGAAAACCAGGTAAAGCCACAATATGCCAAAGGATTTTCCTCCAAACCATTTTCTAGTTAAAAAATTATTATACTTAGATCTACATTGACAGGAATTCTAATTTTATACAGACATGCAGCTCCCTTTTTTTCCCAAACTGAGTACTTTTAATAATTCTCTGTATGATTCCCATCTCTTTTAGCTAACATAGCTAACCACAGGCCATCATACTAGTGAGTCATTGCCTAGTTACCATGGCTTTGGGGAGACCTTTGAATTCCTTGCAAGATGTACATTGTGATTTATGCATTTGATATAATTTAGTACAAGCCAGCTTTCTTTTCGTTTAACAGGTTCTTTTCAATAAAAAAAGTCTTGATTTGTGCCATGGCACTATGTGAAAAGAGCAGTTTCAGTAAATGTTTGTCCTTTTGCAATATTCCCACAGGCACAAGAATAGCTCTAAAGTTAACCTAAAAAACATTGTATGTGGGTGCACTTTTATTACCTTTAGGGTGACAATCATGTTTTCTTAATTTTTACTTTGCAGAAATCTAAGGATACATATGAAGAAAAAATTCGTGATCAGCAGCAGTATATAGCAGATCTGAGATCAGGTGAACTCTGATTAGAATTATTGTAATTGATATTTACAGTTTTAATTTCATAATGTGTACTTAAAAAGGTAAACGATGATTAGTCTTCCACTTTCCCTGGCTATCATGCTATGATACACCAGGGAAAAAAAGATGCAATGAGGTGTCCTTTGATGATAATTTTTATAAATCAATCAATCAATAAATCAGTCAATCAGTCAGTCAACAATTAAACAATCATTGCTAATGTTGATGTGTACTGCTTTAGAATTGAAGCAACATTATGACGAACAGGTCAAGGAATTAGTGGGTGGCCATCAGAGAGAACTGAGCCAAATTCGGAGCGATCACAAGGTTGAGCTGGATAGGATGCAAAAGGCACTTGATGTTGTAAGTTACCAACATTTTAGATTATTGTTTTCTACAAATCATCCTCAATTTGATGCACATTTCTTTGTTTTTCCATCTCTTTCAATGATAAGTTTAATGAAGACTTTCTGGGTGAGAGTAGCATTAAAATAAGTTGGGAATTTACCATAAATTTTGCAACCAAATGCAAAATTGCAATTGTTTGACCATTTGCATCCACACTGCATGTACAAAGTACATGTCTGTGCATCAGCCTCCAGCCTCCAGCCTCCACCAAGTAAGAGAAGTTTTCTAGGAAACTTTTACTGCTGATAGATATGAACACAACCTGAGTAATAGCCATTTTCAGAGTCCAATGAAGACAGAAACTCCTGTGATTTTATGGGCTTTTCAATATACCCTCCCCTTATTTTGAAATAAGTTCTTTATTCATCTTGATGATAAAATAGAGATCAAACAGTAACAGAGGCTGTAAACTCTCTTGGCAGGCAAGAAGAAAAAGTGAAGAGCTTAAAACTGAGTTGTCAGATTCCAGCAAGCGCAACTCAATAGCAGCTGACTCTGGAAGCAAACGAAGTAGTCTGTTTTCACCAGAGAGTGATGGTGGAGAATCTCCTCGAAAACTATCAATGAAGTCTTCAGCACAGGCTGTTAGATTCTTGAACAAGGGAAAACAGAGTTTGGTGAGGACTTGCATCTATGCATGATACAATGTAATTAAAAAATGATTAGATGTTATTTTTGTCATGTGGCGGGCTGATCATACTATATTATTTATATATGCTAGGTAGCTTGGTTTTACATACCTGCAATTGCTTGCATATACTTTTGCTGGTATATTTGTGCTTTTGGCAAACTGATTCAAGGGGAGCTTGAGTCCCTTGTGTCTACTTAATGCATGTTTTACAGTTTGTATTTGAGTTGAAAAAGTATCAAAACTTTACTATTTTGTGCACCAATTACCTTCTTGTCACAATGCAGTTTAATGTGTATGCTTTGTGGAGTTGTTATAAGAGGCATTGGTCTGTTATCTCCTGTTAATTGCCATGCATGATATATGCACATTGCCCAATATTGGATCAGTTTTTTGATGAATGATTAATTATTTTATATGATGTAGTTTCAAAAAAATTGCAAGATATTGCTACTTTTCTCTGCATGGGACAAAAAAGAATTTCTGAGTTCAGCTTGAGGTATAAAATTCTAAGCCAGTTCTAATTTTACAATTGTTGCTGTACTGCCGTTAAGAATGTGTTGAAGTAAAAGGTTTTTACCTTTATTTATTCAGAGTGATGGAGGATCAGCTTCAGACCAAAGTGACAGTTCTTTAACACCAATAAACAAGTCAACAACACCAACCCAAACATCACCGTCTGTGGAGATTACTCAAGAGAAGGCTGGTGAAAGCCCTTCACGAAAATCTTCTCTTTCCCGCCAAGAATCAAAAACTGACAGCAAAAAGAGCAGTGCTAAAGAGAAGAATTCTGCAGGAACACCAGAAAAACAGTTGAAATCAAAATCCCCTGATAAAACACCAGCTGCTGTTGAACCCTTTGAGAAAACAGAAACAGCAGATGAAAATTCTGAAGTGAAACGAACTGCTACAGCAGAGACAACAAATAGTCAAGGTAATCAATTAAGTCTCATCCATCATTAAAATAAGGCTGGAGAAGAACTACAGAACATTTGCCGTATGTTGAATTTTTCCCACGATGGAACCCTAACATTCCCCCACTTTGTTGTGAAAACCTATCCCTGGAAAAAGTTTCCTAGGAAGTTGACAGCCCAGAAAGTTTTAGTAAAAGCGGGTCACTGCCACCTATAAGACCGCTATCTGTTTAACCTGCCAGCAGGCTCTCGTGTTTGGCTTTCGTCTTACGGTATGTTTTCCGGACACAGCCGACTATTACACCATGGAAAAAAAATATTGAAACCCCTGTTTGTTGTTAAGTCGATCTAATTTGTTTGCAGCCTTGTTTAGTTCACATGCTCTTTTTTTTCTAGCGTATTCTTTTATCTTGGAGTTGATTCTTTAACTAGAGTTCTACTCTACTTGGTTACCCTCATGGATTAAATATCTTTAAAATAGAAAGGCATTGATGTGTATGCATTATGCCCCTTTCCCTGTTGCCATCTCTTACTAAAGCACGGTTTCTTGATTTAATTTTTTTTCGCGCATTTCCAGTAGGCATTGTGAAAGTCGAGATGGTCGACATTGGTATTCAAAGTGAGACAGAAGATTTAAGTGATAACGAAACTGCTGCACAGCAAACAGGAAGGAGGCCAACCATGTTGCAAGTTGTTCCAGAGGTTGAGGAGGAACACGAACATGACAATGAATTGGTATACTGTGGTTTAGATTTTAAGATCATAGGTTTTTGTAAAGAATGGTTAGTCACTCGTAATGTACTGCACCTGTCCTTATACTAAATCCAACCCTTGAACCCCTGGGTGTGATTTAAACATGGAACCTGGTTTGAAATTAAAATGCATTATCTAATTAAAAAGTTAGTCATCGACTTTTTTGCCGAGAAAATTCCAAGTCCTTTTCATTAGTTACCTCAGGGAGGGAAGGGGAGAGTTAAAGAATATTAAAAAAGTGCAATAGAAAAGGTCTTTTTCTACATTGGGGAGAAGAAGAACTAGAAAAATCTGCAAAAGGCTTTCTTTATCTTGCGAGGGTTACACCGTGTCTGAAATCTAACTTGCTTTGCCTCAGATTCACCCTGACGTGGCGGTTTTTTTCATTGTAGGAATCGCAATCTCAAGTTTATCTCATAAAGAAACTAGAAGATTACAAGGCTAAGGTATGATATAAAATGAACACACAGCACTTTTTGTGGAGCTATTTGTTAAACGCTCTTTTCAATACTTTTATCTATAGGTCTGATCATGATTGCTAATTTGATTCGCGAGAGTCTTTTGCTTTTTTTAGGCACAGGAAAGGCAGAAAAAGTTGGAACTAGAGCTTGCTGAATTGAAGAACAAGGTAGCACACGTGACCCTTTACCCCTTAAGTTCAGCATGCATATTCTCCTAACTTTTTCCCGTATATTTCCTTCGGTGATGACGAGGAGAATTTGTTTAAAAACTAAGAGCTTCTTTAGGTGGTGATCATTTCTTTTCCTTTGACACTGTAAGGAGAAATTACATTGTAGCTGCTGGTCATTCTCAGGGTTAACGTCACGGATTACCAGTGTAGGCCATGTAACAATTGACGGTTGATAATTAAATTGTTCTTGTTTTTTGTAGTATATGATGAAAACCAATTCTTTGAAAAAGCAAAATGAGGAAGTTCAGAACAATTTTATGAAGGTGAGCAATGATTTAAATGAGCTTGAAAGTGGTACTTCTCTATCTGTCTCACCCCTTAATCCTTTTCATTTTTGAATATATATCCGACCTGACATAAGAAATTTCAAAGGTTTGTATTTGGAAAGTATTTCCTTTATTATTGGATAATATTAGTGTTCTCAAAGATACATTTGATTAGCTTGTGATGTGATCAGCTCATCAAGAACTGAAGAGTAACTTATGATTTGTGGAGTAAGCCAGTCCTTTAAAATGTTTGTTGAATCCAACCCATCAGGAAAAAGAAGTGTTGCTCAGTAGGATTAAAGATGCTGAGTTACTGAAGGTAAGGTCACTCCTCTTATCTTTTAAAAAATGCCCGAATGAAAGGTCGAGGCTCGACCATTTTTTTGAGGCGATTTGAGTTGGAAAACGCAAAATTTACGTTGCTTCTCTTTGTTCTCCTTTTTCATTACAGGAACAAGCAGAAAAAGAGGTAACTAACAGCATACAGTCAGTTAAATGCTTTGTCATTAGTTATGACATCGCGCTGACAACGGTGCTTATGATAATATTTTGTAAAAAAAAAGGGTGTGTCTCAGTATTTCAGAATGTTGAACTTTTTTTACTTTAACCTCTAATTGCCAAACTGACAGGGCACAATTCTTGTCTAGAGGCGAAACTCCAGCATACGAGAATGATTTGCAATTTTTAAGAGTGTAATTTACATTACGCAAATCAAGGTAAACTTGAAAAAATAAAAAGTCGGCGCTATTTCTTGTTTTATCTGAAGGCAGGCTATTTCAGGCTTCCCATTTTTACCCATTCATGCCGAGTCCCTTTGTGGCTTTTCTGTATTTTTTAAGTTGTTCTCCTCCTACCAGGTAGTATTCTTTAATTTTAACATATCATCTTTTTTACTTTTTTAGGCTGAACTGGCAGTTCTGCAACTGGTTAGTTTTTTTGTATTTTTTTATGGTTAACGAGTTTTATTACAACGCTGGCAGCGCCTGTGGGTAATATGAACCGAATCCTATGTTTTGATTGGCTACCTGAGTGGGCAAGATGGGCCCATCTTGCCCGCTCGGGATTGCCCGCTTTGATACGAAAAAAAAATTGAAGTAGGACCAACTTCGTAATTCTTGCGATTGAGACACAAAAAGCGGTAGAAACAAAGAAAACATAAACGACTCTCTTTGTATTATGGTGCTACAAACGCAGTTGTCTCTCTTTCCCGGCTCTCGAAGTAATCAAGCCATTCTCGATTCTTAATAAGGCGAAATATTTTTGCACCGTAATAAATCCTTTATTGACCAATCTCGTTTGCTCAAGATGGGTGGACATTAGCCACGTTCCTTTTTTTGCATTTTTATATGTCTCGACTTCGTCTCGGTCCGCAAAAAAATGCGAAAAAAGAACTCGAACATTATTTGGCCATCTTGACCTCACGCCTGGTCAATAACTAAAATTTATAAATTGGGTTTTACGACAAAAACGTATGAACAAAGAATAAAGTAAACGTCCAATTTAACGGATGACAAGACACACTTTTGAAATCAATAAGTTGTTTGCAAGGTATTTTGAATGCTAACACTTGTAATCTTTTGTTTTTTAGGAAGAGTTCCTCTCCGAACAGGAGGAAATGGTAAGGCAACGCACTTAATTTGGTGACTGCTTGATAGGGTTGTTAACCACAACCCCTGAGAGTGGCTAGCATTTATTTTCACTCTCCAAAATCACCACTAAATGAAACATTCCAGTCATGAAAATGATGGAAATGATCATCAACTACAAAGGCTCTTGATTGTGAAACAAATTCTCCATTTTGGTACCAGAAGAAATGGAAAGAACACAGTATGGAGAATATACACACTGAAGTTAGGTTATAAAGGTTGAGTCGTGGTGGAGAACCTGTTAAGAAATTTTTTGTTTCGCTAAGTACAGAGTACAAGGTGGGTTGTGTTGTGTTGCACCGTGAAGATGATGCTGGCCATGTGTTTGAACTTTGTATCTCACACAGACCTGGCTTTACCAAAATATAACTAAATTACCATTGGTAAGTTCTCAACAGCGGTAAAAATCTGCCGTAAAATTTTCACCGGGACCGCTTAGAGGTGGATATGACCTTTGAAAGGCAGTTGCCGCTTCATAACCGGGTTTATATTTGAGATTTGTGTTCAAAGTTAACATGGAACTTTGGTACAATATTCCTTGGGCATGGCTCGATTTGGTTTCTTGTTAGTGGCATCTTGGGCGCTCTGGAGGAAGGGAAGGGGAAGAACAAGAATTTATTTAATAGTAGTATTTCTTTCACCGGATTTCCAACTTTCTTGTACCGTGGCCTTCCCAACATAGAATTTTGTCTTCACAGAGGCAACTAAAGGAGAAAGGTTTACACGATAAACATGAAGAACAGACAATGACGGGCTTGTCACTTTACGACAGACGTGAAGAGGAAACCATGACAAGCAACTCGATATTTGACAAACAAGAGCAAGAAACCATGACTAGTAAATCCCTGGCAAACATGCGTGAGGAACAGACTATGACCTCCATGTCCCTGGGGACAGACCAAGAACAGGTACTTTTGAATACAACTAGTCTCCTTTCTATGCTGATGTCTATTAGCGGGTGTGCATGGTTTTTATGGCTTGTTTCTCTAGGACTTTGTTGACTCAGAAATTTCCAACTCCAGGTTACTTAATTGTGTCTTAATTGAGGTTGAATCCTGATATAATTTTGAGTCTATGTTACAAGACACCATCGAGACTGATGAGTGTTTGGAAATTTTCAGGCTAGCATGCTTGTCAGTGTTACAGAGTTGTCTGCCCTTCCCTTCTTCCCGCTGGATTCTTCTCCTACTGACCCGAGTTCTACTCTGATTTGTTTCCATCGCAGATCAGCGATTCAAAGAGGCATCAATCCGTTGGGAGTCAGTCGTCGCGTCAGTCCTCTGCTCATTTGATGGACAGTGTAACACAGGATCAAAGTGCTGAAAGAGGTCTGAGTCCACGTGACAGTGGGTTTGATGGAGCGGCCTCAAGCCTCAAGTATGACTCCAGACCGAGTTCACCTACCGTGAAGTTTTCCGTAGATGAGGTTAGTTGCTAGTGGTAGTTGTATTTCGTGTTGTCTCGTGTGCTTTTAGAAACCGTTTACCAAAGAGTGAAACAAATAAACTTCCATCTCGTGTACACTTTCGAAGCTGAGCTACGAAGCCACACGTTGGGAGCGAGACAAGATTTGGAGGGTTTGTCTTTCTCGCAGAGGAGTCTGTCACAATCTCAATGAAATAAATTTCATTTGACCTGGGAATGCAATTGAAGGAAATGGTGAAGCTTTGTAGCTCAGTTGGTAGAAGCGCCAAACTAGTACCTGGACAAGCTTTTAAAGAATGGGCCAAATGGCTTGACTTCAAAGCCTTTACCTATCTAGTTCTTTCTTCTGCAGCAACATCCTCGAGAATCGAAACCAACAATGCTGTCTCCCCCTCAGCAGACAAGACCTGCTATGAGTGCTAGGGCTCGTAGGCGACTCATAAACTCTGCTCTCGGCGATCACCCAGTGGCTCAAGAGACATTGCGGACATACGAGGCAGTCCTGCTGTTTAGTCGTAACATAACGCAGTGGTTGGACCGCGAAGGGCTTAGTGAAGAATCTGATCTGTTGAAACGTGTACAGCCTGTGGTTCTCAACCAGGTGAACTGGAAAGCTATTGAGAAATAATATCTGAAACAATTACTTGCTGTAACGACTTTCTGGTCTCTTGGTTGTGAAGTTTTCCCTTGATAGATTATTATTTTTGTTTTATCAGTTGCTGTGAGCATGCTTTTGCATATTTTTTTTTGTTTTCTTTTGTTTTTTTTGGCTCTTGTCTAGCATTTCAGTAAAAATTATTTGAACCTTTAATGTATCAATGAAGTGTTTGACACAAGCCTTATCTTGTCTACATTTGTACACAGGAAGACACCTTGGAGATAATAGAGAGTCTGCCGGAGATACGTAGCAGTATTGACCAGGTCAGTGCACAGTTCATAAGCATTATATCTTCCATGTGCTGTTAACCACGACTGCCGTCCACCAATACATTCAAAATTTCCCATGAGAACATCTATACATATTGGTTTATTTTGTAGATACAGTTAGCTTTTAGTTGTCTATTATGAGAAACACTCATAAGCTAGTTTTAAGGTATTACACAGTTGGGTTGGTTGAGAAATATTATATATTTACGCAGCTTAAAAAATTTGGTACAATAAAGAATAAGAAAAAAAATAATCAAACCAAAACATTGATGAAATTACAAAAAAAAAAAAAAAAATCGGGAGAATTTTAGTCACAGTTCTCCGGGATTTTGATTTTAAGCATCCCCTCAATATCAGACTCTGAGAAGTAACTTTGTGAAGTAGAGGCACATCAATATCTATCATGCAAATGTTTGATTTGCTTTTTATTGCATTATTGTTGTTTTAGATTCTAAATCAGGTGGGCAGTGTTTTGTCCAGTCAACATCTCGCACGATCCAAACCTGTGGACACGAAGAGTGTAGGACTGAATCCCCCGGAACCGAAAACGCGGCAAGAATGGAGACCGAAGAGTTTTAAGGTGTGCATTTTTCTGTGGTCTAACGACTATTCTTCGTAGGAGCAGCGAAAAGGAACCTCTCAAAAGTATTCTTTGAAACCTCAGGGTAACAATTGTATCAGTATAGTGGTCACTATCACAACGAATGGATTATTATTCGTTTTATTTCAAATTTTCCTCCAAAAATACACCAAAAATTTGCGCGGCGGCCATTCTTAAAATTACGGCCTCTGCGATGCAATCGCCTCATGCGTGATGAGAGTGGAAAGATATAACTGAGTTGGCAAGATGGGTCCACATTGCCCGCTCGAAGAGCCAATCAGAACACAGAATTAGCTTAATCTCGTGTCGCTTCCTACGTAGCACTGTTTAAGATATATTTTTGTGGCTATTATTCCACCTAACCACTTGATAACAACTAAAATATCGCTTAAAAATTTGAAAGCTAAACTGTTTTTAGGGATCCTCTGTTACTCCAAACGTTCCACCGTACACTCCGTGTATAGAGTGAGTTGCTCGGGTTTGTTGTTGAAACGACAGGTTGTGTTTTGCTAAGGATCTTACTTGTAATAGAACAGAAATAAGCTGGAACTTTGAATTGAGGTCATCGACGTAGTCAACTCAAACATTACTTCCTCCTTTCTCTTCTCGCCTCATCTTAAGCAGAAGGAAGATTTAGGAGATACATCAAGCATGGAATCCAACTACGTCAAGCTGCTGAAGGAGTACAACGATTTGGCCGAAGGTTACGAGCGTCTTCAACGACATCTGGATGAAGAAACCAAGTTTCACCAGGAACAAACCAGTCAGAATGTAGCAGTCATGACAGACATGCAGGACACGATCACGCAGCTGAGGAATCAGCTGGCAGAACTGAGGAGCATACGGTCCGCTTCATCGGGGGTGCGTCACGTCCTAGTAATTTAACATCATCTTGGAAAGTTAGCTAGAAAGTAAAGAAGTTAAGAAAGTGGGAGCCTCTCAAGAAAAGAAAAAGTCTGAGTCTCCTTTGAAGTGACACGTTTATCGCCTTTATGATTAAAAGGGTTAACATTGTTTTGATAAATGTTGCTTAAATCTTTCTCGCTTTATGTTTTGACCGATCACACATTTACTATCACTAGGGAATGTTGTAGTCATGGCTATTACCTGTATATGCCATGCCTCTAGCCGACAAGAGCTACTCTTGATTGTGTACTCAAACTCCAAAGTAACCAGGGATAGGTCGTTATATCAATTAATCTTTCGATTGTCTTTGTTGTTGCAGCGCGCAAGTTCTTCCATTATGTTCACACGACTCGATGCAGAAAGAAACGGGAAGATCCTCAAGCGTGCTGTCAACGAAAGGCGACTGTCCGACAGCAGTTTCTCTGTGATCATGGAACACATGGATAATTATGTTAGTTTACCGGCCAAGAGATTAGCGCATATTGTCAGGCGATATAGTCACCACCGAGCTATGAAAAACATTGGTAGGTTTGCAGTATTTTCCCTAGGTTAATAGACTCTTTTTCAAAACAGACGACATGGCGGACAGAACCTCTCTATATCTGTGGCACCGGAAGAATGGTGTCGAGAAAGGTCAGGACAGCGCGACCGGATTTCAATCCAGATGACGCACTAGACGATTCAGGGTATCGCAGCACATTAAGTAGAACCCCAGAAAGGGAAAGTGAATCTCGATTAGTTTTGAATCGCCAAGAGCAGTGTTAACTGGACGCCTTGTTACTTCTGAACTTTATATTTCTATACTTCACCTGTGCGCTGGGATAATTCTGGCTTTACTTCCCGTTTTAACTCTCTACTTCCTACATCGGCATTCGTTTGGTGAACCCCTTCTCAACAACAAAATTCGAAAAGTCGGTTCTGCTGATAACAAAGGTTTTCAATAATTGCAGAATGTGGTAAGCCTATAATTTTGGCCCATGTTTTTCGTCTAGACATTTAAGTGAGTAGCTGTGGTAAACCGATACCTTAACTGACCTCGAATGTCGTTTTTTTAGAGCAAAGTTTACAACGAAGTGGTAGTCTTGACGAAAGCGTGTTTTCAACCCTGGATAAAATGGAAGCTTTACAAAACACACGCGCTCAGCGATGGGGCAACCAAATGGACAAGTATGCGTTCGAGCGTGAGCAACTTGCACAGCAGTTAACGTCCTGTTTTGAAAACCTGGAGCAAGAGACAGGGATCTTTCTCATAAAACCTGTTTATTCTCTAAAAGGAAGGTGAGAGAATAAATATAGACAACTAAATTACAGAAAAAAATTGCAATAAATCGTTTAATAAGTGGATGATTAGCGACGTATTGATTTTATAAGGTAAAATTCAGTTGCAGAGAAAGTGCCTTAAAAAAGAAATCAGGCCTCAAGAGGGATTGAACTGGTGCTTTCCAGACATCATTTGGACTCCACTGCCAACACGCCTTTACCAGAAGTTTAAACACTTTCACTTTCTAAGCGAGTCCAAAACACAAGCTTTTGTTATTATGGAAATGGCCGTGAAGCCACCTACTGGAAGACAGGCAAATTGTTCCGTTTTCGACCGTATATTAAAGTCAAATACTTTTTCTCAACAGATCTGAAGTGAATGGTGGGCATGTTATTGCCCAGAGAAACAAACCCTCCCCGGTACCACCTAAGCCTAGTGGTCCAGCAACCCCTGCACCAACTCCATGGCAAAATTATGGGTCCAAGGCACCAATATCGGCGGGGCTCTACCGTGACCTGACACAAAGCTCCCTCGCCAGAGCTGCTTCCTCAATTCCTGCCGTGGCTCAGTTAGAAGATGGGACAATTAGGATGAGAGTCACACAGCCCATGGACAAAGAGGGCCTGTTAAGCTCTTCCGCTGGTGTAACGTGGCAGGCGTCCAAGTCCCAAGTGTTGGGTTCTCCTTCAGCTGCTGTGCAAATTAACACGCCTAGAATTCTAGAGCTTGATGTTAATCGAATGATGATAGGACAGACAGATGTGAGGTATGTTATAAACGATCTCTGGAACTACTCTAGGACAAGCGTCTTATTGAACTCATTATTTGACACATCTTTATCCCCAGTGGTCAACTGTCCAACAGCTTGATTCTTGACAGGTTTCACCTTATGGGAATTATGAGAATAACCTCTTCCCTTTGTAGAAGAATTAGATAACTTTCACTGACTTGAAGAGATCATATCAATAGAAGCAAGAACATTCCATTTACTTTGTCAGTTCCAGACCCTAACCTGATTTGCTCTAAATATTTGCAGTTCATATGGTGTTGGTTTACTCGCGTTTATAGAATTTTAGTGCCTTTAAAAGAGCGGTATACGTTTGGAACGATTTTAGAATACATTGTTCTCTTAATATGACGTATTGAGTATCGTTATTTTTTAATTTTTCACCACAGTAAGCACATTTACCCTCCCGATGACTCTGGTGAAATGACAGGCTCCGCTGTTAGAAGTTATGTTACAGTGGAGCGACCATCAGGCGGTAAACAAATCCGAAAAGCCAAGCAAGCTAACCTAGGTGAGCCAATTAGTTAATAGACGGAAGTCAGTCAGTAACTGACCGTGTTCTATTAATGGGATATGTAGTGTTTCCGTTGACTGAAAGAATAAAAGGGATATGAACTCTTGTGGTATATCCTGTCTTCTCTCTGAAGTGTCCTTCCCAGATATATAAATTTACGTACACAGGGTTCGCAAAGAGTCATGAATTCGTGGAAAAGTATGGAAATTTGCAATTTGAGGACGTGAGAAAAGAATAATTGGGAAAACTTATTGAGTCTCTCCAAACTTCATAAAGTGCTTAATTACTGGGTGAAATATTTGTATGGTGTCAAAAGTTAAGCTCGTGTAGATTACTCAGGCCAAAGTGCACAGAGGGGGAATTTTCATTTTGGGAAAAAGCTCACAACCAGCTATTTGCCTTACCAGTGTGATTTGACCGATAACCTTGAGTGCGGCTCTTGGAGTAATGACAAGGAAATACTTTGAATAGGAGCAACTGACGAAATTAGAATTTCATTTCTGGAGAACTGTTGAAGTCCTATTGGTTAACCTATCAACTGTAATGACACACTTTCTGTTTATTCTTTCAGCATCACAGAGTTATTCTCCACCCAATAGTGCTCCAGACAGCAAGCCTCAGGGCCGTCCTCAGAGTGGTCCTCAGTTGACACATTACTCTCCTCTCCCTCCCATACACATGCCCAAGTTACGCCAGGAGTCACGGTCAGGCAAGTCACTTGAGAGTGAGGCTGTAACCCATTCAGATGCTGGGACTCCTGTGGCAGGGATCAAGTTTGAAGGCACCAGACCCAGTACAGGTGGAGCCCATAATGGACAAGACAATCATATAGGACTTATCTCCCCTGAGATTTTACCTGTTAGATAGCGACGTTTGAACCTCGATTGTTTCTGAATATTTAAATAGTAAGAAAGAGATGTAGCATGACTTTCAGAAGAAATTTACTTTATCGTCAGAGTTTAGTTATCTAAATATTATAAGATTTCGTGCGATTTTATTTTTTTTCGCCTTGGAAAGCGGAAAGGAATAAGAATTGGGCCATATTTGCCCACCGTTAAATAAGAGTGGTATGTGAGACACCATTTTACGGAATATTAATCTCTACCATTTTGAAGTATGTGTAAAAATCTACTTCTCACCGTGGTTTAAGATTTCAAAGAGTTACATGTCCTCTTGGAAGTCGTCCTAAAAACTGACAAGAATTGCTATTGCGGACAAACAGAACTCATTAACCTGGCAGCACACTTACAAAGTCGCAGACTTCAACTCAGGTTGAGGGTACTACAACGCACGGTTCACAAACAGCCGTTGCCTTGGTAGTCGCAAAAACTCCTTATTTGAGCCAACAATGCCTTTTTTTTGTAACTATTAATAGTTCAAAAAGATGGCGAGGAAGAAAAGACTTTAGAGAAAAGCGGCAGGTTGCTGAGAAAGATTTCTAATAAGGGCGTCTGAAGCGAATTTTCGACTCTTTCGAAGGCAAATATCATAGTGTTAGGAGGGTCTTAAAGAGGTGAAAACGCGCTCAGTGTCGAAATTGTATATACAAAGGTTTCAAGGGAGTGAGTGTGTAAAATTATTAAGTTTAAAGAGATCTTTGCTATGGAATACTTTTTGACACTTGTGTGTAGAAAGAGGAACGAAACTGTTCAGGCAGTAGATTATATCACTCTACTGGATCAAATCTTCTGGAGACTGTAAATATAACAGTAAAAGATAACTTAGAAGACTATTAAATAGGAAAAATATCATTGTAATTGATGCTGATGTTATTGTGATAAGCCTTCTAATCCAATGTACTGAAGATATATATGGCTACCACTTACACCAATTTAGGCAAAATAACTTTAACGGTCACAGTGCAAGAATTGCACCCGCCATCAAATCTGAGGAGTAATAAGTGATAAGTATAACCATTACTGTGCAGGTCTGAGTGTGCTTCGAAGAATCACGATTGAAGCCCTTTTTTGAACTCACTTAGTGTTACCTTGGTTGTAAATCGAACCACTACACAGAAAAACTGAAAGGTGTTATTTAAAAGTGTACTTACAAACAGCAACTTGATAAATGATAAGAATTAAATGATACATAGGTTTAAAATCAAGCAGCAATGTAAACAAGCAAATTTGGCCTGGGACGGAAGAATGTTAAGAGACGATTAAAGGATGAGATACCAAAACAAGATCGCTAACACTGAGGCAATGACATTAATTAAACGAGGTGTAGATATTGAACCCCAGAGTAATGGCTATTTTTGTTCTGATTCAGCGCTTCAAATCAACCTCAACAGGGGTAAATCACCTTCCGGCTCTATGGCGCTACGACTACGTGACAGTCATTGCGCAAGATGCAGTTTCCACGAGACCCAGGTGAAGGGTTTTTTACATTATTGAAACGAGAAAAAAAGCCAGTCTCCTCCAGTGAAATCTGTTTGAGCATTATCGTGGAGTTATTTGCACTGCGCAGTCTAATGAGAAGAAAAGGAAGAAGAAATTACAACAGCACGGATTGATAGAAGGTGATAAAAGCGTTTGTCCAGCTGCGGTCTTCAACAAAAGGATCTATTTCGTCTAAATTTTCTGTTCAATTCTGACACGCTCTGAGTCCGGCATTGATGTCATCGGATTTCCTCATTTCGAAATTCAATAAATACATATATAGTCACTTTTCATTTTTTAATCGCTTATAAAAGGACTAATGTATCTCTGACTGTGTCTGATTCATCAGTTTATATTGAAGCTAGCGCCAGTTGGAATAACCTTTTAAATTACCCAATTGCAGGGGACAACTATAAAATTACGACGCGGGTCGCAACTGAACCGCAATGGAAATTCGCACCGAACTGATAATTCTCTCACTTTGCTTCGCGTGGTTTAAAGGTTTTCTATGTTCTGGTAAGTGTTGTTGTGTATCAATTCAAATACAGGTCATTGCATGAGACAGTGGGGGCAACTGCAGCGTAGATGCTATCGAGCGGAAAACGTTTTTTTGATCTTGAATGACATGGGAGATACGAAGAAGCACTGCCCGTCCAATACATAATTTCCTACTTTCAGAGTACGACGTGGGACAGATGTTAATGTGTTAATCAGAATCATTGGCACAAAGAGGTCGACCGCTGAAAAGAAGCTGGTGAGCCCAAGAGATCCTTTTGAGAAAGGAAGGTAGGATTTAACTATTACTTAAACAGGAGCCGGAGTCAAATATCCAACCTGAAAAAAGTGTAGAATGTTGCTTGAGAAATATACTTTGCTGTCCTCATTTAGTTTTAAGCTGACTTATATCAGTTTTTTTTCTACAACAATTGAAATGTGTCGATAAAAAAGGAATTAAAATAAAAAATATATTTAGTTATGTGGTAAGAAAAGGATTGAAGGCTTTCGATCGAGAGAGGAAATGTTCCCCTTGAACAAACAGAAGAACGTTATTGACATAATGAAGGGTTTTCGTATAAATTCTAAGGTAGATTGATGAAGATATAATCTACGTCACAGAATATTTATTTCACCCATACTCTTGGATTTCCAGAACTGACCAATTCTCTGTACCGAACGTTGCTGATATAGGAGATATCACCGCCATAGCTCTGAAAAGAGATGAAGACGGTTGGTTCCCAAAGTGGCAGCTTGATCGCGTAAGTGAATAGTACATTAATCTCTTTCTCAAGGGGAATGCTAACAAAAACGAAGAAATTTGCTGTCAAATGTTGTCCGACTCCCCGCCAAGACTAAATAGGAAAAGTAGATACTAATCAATTTTATCATATCATGTTTATCTGGACTTCCATTCATGGGTGCAGATATTATTCAATAGTCTATTAAATAGAGGTTTGCTTTGGGAGAGAGATGATGCAACAATTTCAAGGGGGCTAAACGAGAACCTCCAATAGAGGTCTCGCACTAACGTTTTACTGATCTTTGAAGACACGTTGGGTCATTCTGTTGTCTGAGAAAAAGTAGGTTTAGACGGGTGAAGGGCGGTAAATGTTTTCCAATACTTCCCTTCGCCATGTCAATTAGTTCTTTATGTGCGCATAGCTTTACCACTCCTAAATGGGTCATTTTGAGGGAAATTTAGCGAAACCCTTTAACTTTTTTTTTTCAATACTCTCGTTGCTATGATATAGCAATTACAACTTGAAAAATGATGAACTATGCAAACTCCCCTCTCCCCCCTCCCACCACAATAGCACAAGTGGAAACAGAGGTATTGTGAGAATTAATATCACTGACACAATTTACTGCAGTCGTCATCGGGAACTTTCTCGAGATGGCTGTACATCTTAGGTTTTAGACAAATTATAAACTTTCGTAGGACCATTAGCACATTAGATCCCTAGATAAAGAACCCCGCAAGCCTTTACAGCTTTTAATAACTATCGTTTTAAAGTCGAGGATTTGATTGATTGGAACTCGTTCCCACTCTCTGACATCACTTCTACTCGTACTTTAGGGGGAGCGTAAAATACAATTTATATATATATATATGTATCCACAGGTAATAAGAATAAGATAATAATAAGATAAGTAAGTAAGATAGTAATAAGAATAAGATAATAGCAATCTTTGAAAAGATGAACAATGTACTACCACAGATTAATGGTAACAGAAAACGCATGATTAATATCAGTTACATAATGAAACAGATATAAAATGATATCCAAATTAATACAGATTACATAAAAATACCAAATCAAAGAAAACCCTTGAATATTATCACAACTACTGGAACAATATATTGAAACTAGATAGAAATAGTAGAGATGGTAAGTTTTCAGCTCGGTAAAGAATTAATCTGAGTCCCCATGAGGAATCTAACCTCAGACCTTCGGATTTGCGCTCCGATGCTCTACCACTGAGCCACAGAGACTGGAAGACTGGAATTCAAATCACTAAGCAATGATTATGAAATAACAATTGAGCGAGTAAAGATGAAAATAGATTACGAGAAATTTATTATAGAGAATGATTATTTATTTTCAAATCAAAGGAGTCTTTGATGGTGCATTTGAGGTACATTCATAATATTATTGAATAATAAATAATTATATATAGTTTATATTATTGAAACCAATCTGCAAAGGGACATTATTTTATCTTTTAGTACAGAGGATTTAAAACAGAATATGAAAATAGCTTAAACGGTAGACAAAATAGAAGAGAACAGTAAAGCTCTCAAGAGATTCACCGAATCATATGAAATTATTATTAGGAATTAAAATGATGCTTTGAAGCAAATAAACGAAATCAGATTAGCACTAAAACATAAGACTACAAATTAACTGGCAGAATTGAAAGGATTGAAATTTGTAGAAACTCTGGGTGTGACACTTGTTGTTAGCTATCTAAAGGATTTGGTTGAACTTTTAAATCTATTGATAAACACTTTCTGAATATTGTTATTTATCATCTAGCAAGAGGTTCCTCAAGCAAATCACAAGACAACTTCAGAGCAAAAGATCTGGAGTTTGTTCATCAGCAGACCAATCACAGTAAGAGACAACTTCAACTGTGAGTTTGAAAATGGCACATCTTTTGTTTTGAAAAAATGTTGGGAGGTCCAGGTTGAGTTCATTTCACTCTAAAAGAAAATTAAAAAAAAAAACATTGTGGGGATATTAAGAGCAGAACTTAAAATACTGGGAGTTCTATGCTCTCATCTCAGTCCTTAAAAGTTATAGAAAAGAAGCTGTTTCAATGATACTGGGAGTTATGACATGCTCTTAACATGCCTATTATACAGTCATATATTACCTTTGTTTCCAGACGTTCCAACTTTTGCTTCTTGGCTATCAGCTCTTTCGCCTTTTCTGCAATTTTAAGATTTTCTGCAATAATTTTCTCAGACTGCCTGACTGCTTCTTCCCTTTTCTGCTTATGCACCGCCATAAAGGCACCCACTTGAAACCTCCTGTACTTCCTCATCCTTGGGCCACATTCTGCCATGGTTCTCTGTGGACATGGAAAGGACCTTAGATATTGAGGGCTATGCCCATTTTGGTGTCTTTCTAAGTCTTTGAAGAGATTGTTCAAGTGCGGTTTCGAATCAAGTCATAAAGCAGAACCAACATTTCCACACTTGCACTGACAAAATATTCGCCATTTACAAGACCCTTTCCGAGTCTTTGTAGGGATTGTTTGAGAATTTCTGCTAACAAATTGTTGTTCTCAAATGTACCTTCTTCTATTTCTTCACTCCTAATATCTAAATCTTTATTCTCCAACTCATCATCCTCCAGAACTTTTTCACGACCCAAATGTGGTAAGAAAAAAAAACCAGACGTGAGTGCGATCATGCAAATGTGCGATTCAGTTGTACAAAAACAATAACAATTTACTGTCAAGTGGAAAACTACAGTAAGATTTATGAAGAAAAATAGCTGCGCAAAATTTTTTTTTGAAAAAACAAAAAACATATGACAAAACATTGACATTCTGTGAAAGCTACAAAAGCAAAACTATGAAATTCTAATGACAACAAAAGAAAATGAATGAAGGCAAAGAATACACCTGTAACAACTGGAAGTTACTATGTGAAAAGGCAGCCTTAATTATATGGCTAGGCTGTCCAAAAAAAAAAGTACTTACTGGCGTTTGGTACCAAAACAAACCGCAGAAATTAATCTCTTCACCGACTTAGGTCGCACAGTGGGTCAAGCATTGACATGCTGGTAAACTAGATGCAATAAAAAGTAAGAGCGTATAAGTATCACAATTTGAAATTAATGACACAGGATGTTGTCGACACAGGATGTGTTGCAGTACCTGACTGAAATGTGGCACTGATTCAAATGTTGAATTTATGCTGTGTTGAAGTAACAGTAGACATTACTCTTTTATGAATTACATGCAGCATGTAGCATACATAAATCCGACCTGTGCTGAACTTCTATTGAACTCAGCCAAATTAAACTAGGCCTTGTATTAGGACAAGTTACAACAGTTTGTACACCAGCCACAATTGTTTACTACTGTTTATATATATTCATTTACGCTAAAAATAGTTCTTAAGCATAAAAAGCGTAAGGTCATATGATAAACAAAATCAAGTTAAACTGCAGAAACGTACTTGCTTACCAAGTTTGCACATTTCATATATTCATGCCATTCATTTTATTTTAGCTTACGCTTATTTATTTTATATTACTCGTAATCACGCACGAGAAAACTCGTGGTCGGTAAGCTGCCTGGCCTTCTCAGAACAGTTGATCTGTTTGGCAATACATGCAAAATTACACAGTCAAATTTCAGTGAGCCCTCAGGACGCACGCTTCTTTTTCAAAAATCCAAAAACATACGATCAACATTTGACCCACTGTTAATGCTATGAAAGTAAAATAAACACATTTTAACAGAAACAGGCGGAAATGAATGGAGGCAAAAAAAGACACCTTTTCGAATAAGAGGAATCGGGACAAAAAGTGGCTGAAAAAAAAGCTGTGATGTCTAGAAAAACAAAGTAACCTACCCATGTTTGGTAGCAAACGAAAGGTCTTGGATCCCTCCTCCAAGATGGCTTCCCGGTATTTACCTTCCAACCTCAGAGGGCCCTCTGAGAAGGACTAAAAAACCGCCATTTGACGCGTTATAAATTCGTACCCAGTCTTCTACAAAAAGTGTCTGGTCCAATATGGCGACCAACCACGCGGATGGCGAGCGATTTTGAGTCATTCTGTGCCCACCATGATGCAAATGAGCTATAACTTTATCGGATGGAGAATAAATCAGTCGTTGAAACCTAACTTATAGCCAACTGTCAGACTTTCCATCTTCTAATTTACTGCTTCAATGATTCCTTCATTCATAATTCAAATTGACAGTTTGAAAGTAGAAAGTGTTTCCGAGAGTTCTTTTGTCATGGATATCCAAGAATTCTTTTGTTATATATATCAGAAGATTACAATTTTGTCATTAGCAGCAAAGTAGATGGCGTGTTCGAGAACGTTTTAACATAATGGTCTCGATCAGCCATCTATTATACTTTTACCCTGTTTGTTGCTTTTATCTAAATACATGCAGGTCTCGATGCTGATTGAGCTTTACGTTTGATTCCTGACTTAGGCTCAGAAATATTTTTGACTAATTAACTGCTCGGAGGATACCTCCAAATTTCCATCAGTTCGTATAGTCTACGCAAAATTAGGGACCTTTAGCAATTAGGACGGCAACGCCAAGGAGAAAATGAAAGCATATTTTTCAGTTGGAATTTCGCGAATGGACCACGCGAATTTTGATGATTTCACGTTGTTATTTTGCAAAGGATGGCTAAGAAATGTACACAATTTTCATATGCACGTGCTGAGCTATTGTTCTGCTCATTAGATCTGTTGTTTTTCCACGTCCTCGTTGCTGTCGCAATCGTGGTTTGCTAAAGGTCTTTATTGACGTGTTGTTTGAACTGTTGGATTTTCAGAAAAAAAAGGCTTTGACATACTTGCGTAGGCGCATGTAATATCTTATATTTGTCTAAACTGACATTGATTGACGATGCTTGGAATGAAATAACCTTATCAGGTGCGCTAAGAACCAAGCTTTTATTCTTCGTGTGAAGGCGTTGTTTGGATTGTGATGTTGTCAGCAGGAAGGTTTAAAAAGAATATTTCGATATTTCACCACAATGATTCTCAATCTAACCTAATGTAGTAAA